CTCCTTTCTCAAACGGGCTTGGGACCGTCTACAGTGTAGTTTGTGCTTAATTCCAAACAAACAAATAAAAACTCCTAGGAAGTAACATCATTATTATCTTTTGCATGTAATGTTATGTTTTATTACCAGACTGGAGCATATTTTCACCAGCTTCAGGCAGATATTTCTGAGAGCTCTCTATCTCCAGTAAAGGCGACCTCTTTCATTCAGTTTGACTGTTTTGTGTCTTCAATAAACACTGTTTTCACATTATTTTCCAATGCGTACAGTCTCTTTCTTTTCACAACTTAGATCAACTCCTGCAAAACAATTTCTGTCGAACTTTGTTTTTTTTTATTTCACCCGATTCCTCCGAAGAAAAATGGGTAATCTTGCTAATATCACGTAATAAGAAAAATCAAAGGCCCAATCATTGACTCCTGAGGCATTCCACGGGTAACAATGGTTCTAGTTTGACTGAACTAGTTTTTTGTAAATCTAAACTTAATTATGCTTCCCAGTGGCACAGCGATAAGTCTGAGGACTCATTACGCTAGAAACTGAGCTTCGATACCAGTGGTGAGCATAGTTCATTATGTAGCTATGTGCTTAACTACAAACAAACAAAAAAAAACCTAAGTACACCAAGTTTACACCTTTACTATCGCACAGATAAGTAACATCTTCGAAAAGAAAAAAATGATGGTAAGGCAGGGATTTTCTTTTGGTAAATTCATGCTGACTTTCATTTATGATGTATTCCATTATATGGTTTTATAAAGCTTCTTTTATCGTGATTTTAATACAATTAGGGTTACCAGATTTCCATAGTGAAAAACCGGGACTCTTTGTTTTTCCGCGCGGTGTGATACTGGAACAGTTTAAATTACAATAACACTTTTTTTTTGCCATTTGCTAAATAATATGATGTTTAGTGCATCCTGTTTTAAAATCACAGACAAACAAAGTTTGTTAAAAGCTTATCTAGTCAAATAGTAATAAATAGAATTAAAAACGTCCCTAAGTTATCTTGAATCCACTCAGAAAAAATTTTGCTTCTTCGTTTTATTTTTCGCAGAATAGAACACTGTATCGTGTGATCCGTTTTTGCCACCTGATTTATACTTAAAATTTAAAGGAGCCATGTATACTGGCAAACCGTATTTATCAAACTCGCACTGAGATACATAGAGAAACTGTAGCAAGTTAATATTTTTATTGTTCCTGATCGGAACTCAAAAAATAAGGCGAAAAACTGACACGATCTCAGTAATACTGTGAAGTCTGGTAAACTTAAAAAAGGGACAGAAAATATAAAACATGTGGTTTGTCTACATACCAAATAGTGTCATATTGAAAGTAGGTCAAATATAGCATTTTTAAATATTTCCATAATAAAATACATTGATGGCAAAACTTTAAAAAACAAACAATGAGGATGTAATAATGAATTAATAGAATGTTATTTTAAAATATAAATATTTCAGTTCAAAACAGACACGCTAGAAGTCGCTGAATTCTATTTGTGATGGAATGTGTTTGTTATACGAATATGTATGATAATTGGCCACCTATAATGTACATATAAATGATAACACAGGTACTTATATGGCAAATTAATTTTTATAAAAGATGTCTTGTTTCAATTTTATTTATGTTATTTTCTAAATTCTAGTTTTATTAATTAAGAGGGACATTGTTTTTCATCGTTTTTATTGTAAAAGTACTAGTACTAACTAGTAAAACAAAATACATGCCTGATATTGTGATAAGGACTATCGCAATATATGACTATGAGACTGAGAACAACAATACCGAGTGAAACGGAAAGTTAAAAGTAACTACTAGTAGTATCTAAGTGTGGGTAATGTTTGTGACTTATATTTATATAAGTTGTATAGGTGAGGTGGTTTGTAAACTTGGTTCAGTTATTTTCGCGAGTAGTTGTACCCTCAAAATTCAGGTTTTACCTTTTTAAAGTTATAAGTTTTTAATGTGTTGTAATATCTGCTAATTATTAATAACAAGTTTCCATAAAAGCAGACCTGCAGATGAGAACCTAAAATTTGGGCCAATGTCAGCAACGTAACATAATTATCAGAACGTGATGGTGTCTGATAATGTGCTTTGGACTATAGTATAAGATACCTATCACTATAGCAGTGCAGAGGTCTTTGACCTGTAGATGGTGAACTAATCATGGCTCTTTATGTGACCAAATATGGGTCTTGAGTCTCATTCACACACATAGGAAAAAAAGTATTAAGCACCTAATAGTAATACTATCCCTGCCTGGTTGACTTGTATTATCCACCTTGCTGTTCTTTTAGTTTTAATACCCACCCACCTACCCTCTGCTCTTATTGGTGTTTCTATTTCTGGATGAAGTCTCATTAAAGCATTGCACTGTAAGTACAACAATCAGTTTATTTATTTCTTTTTACATTGAACTGCAAAGTACACAAATTGTATGTATATTGTTTGATTTCATGTAACACTTGGCTCAGTGCAAATTACTTGCTCAAGTTTCCATTCCATGAACAAAATGGTTGCCAACCCTTGTATTAGAGTACCACCAACATACCCATTGGTCCATAGAAATAACGAAATGGACCGGAATACAAAAACAGAGCTGTTTTATCATGTTATTTTGCTGTTATTAATTATTGTACTTTTTTATGTATTAGGATATAATGCATTGGTATGGTGAATGAGTTTGTTTACCATACATATTTGCCTCTGTTAATGTGATGATGTTCAAAGAATAAAATATAATTTTTATAAGCAAAACTGCTATTTATATAATAGCTTTCAATTCCATTGTGCCCTTTTTGGACTCCCCCTACCCTTTTTTTTTTAAAGTAACCCTTAATGTGGATTTAAGAGGTTATGAAAATATCATATAATGGCTCAGAATTTAGAAATTTGATCTGTGTTTCCCAATGTTTAGCAGTTCAATAGATGACCCAGTGCTTGAATTTTGGATTGTTGTTCATAGCCTCATAAAACACTTGAAACTGGACCCCACAAACTTTCGAATAGTACTCCTGAAACTTTCAGATGTTTTATGTTAGATGTGCTTTTTTTTTCACAATAATTTTTCTATAATTGGATAATTACAGGAATTTCTGGCACAAAATGTAAACTCTTGAGTTTCCAATTAATAATTTTTATCTGCTAACCAGAACCACAACTCTAAATTCAGCATACTGTACAAAGTATTTTTACTTAATTCATGTAGGAATGCTATAGCACTTTAAAAACACTTGGATAATTTTTATTATCAGTAAATCTGTTAATATAGATAGTTTATATACAATTATTTTTTAACACTTTCAAATACATTTATTTTCTAAGTGCTATCACAGAAAAAGACATAGTATATTAATTTTTATTCTTAGAGTAGTATTAGATTTTCAAAATGCTAATAGTAAGTAGATTTAGAGTTTAGGTTATGAGTGAGGTAAGTTAGAAAATAATATAAATACAGATATAAAATCTGAATAATGGGCTACAAGAATGAACAGCTTATATTTAAATTTTAGCATAAACTAGTAGCAATTAAATTAAGTACCATTATTTTTACCATTTGGATATGTTGTTTTATATATTCATTTTATTCTAGACTTATAATTCTTTAAATGTAGTACAGTATAAAATTAAAAAGGTATGCCATTATTTTATTTGAACAACTGTGTATATTGTGTCTTAATATATTTTTAGCTGTATCATTTTTTGGTATAATTATTTTACTCATTTATGAATTGTTAGTTCTCTAAATGTAATTATACCTTTTCACATTGTTTTGAACTTAAATGACGGTATCTCTAACTTAGTATAAAATTTAGCATTGTAATTAAAAAAGCAGCTTCAGAAGGGGATGCTTTGATGAACACACTACTGTTAAAACTAGCTGAATTTTATATCTGTTTGTATTTGGAATTGTATGTAATTTACATTGCCACATTTTATTTTGAATCAAGAAGCTTTAGCTGCACTTTCTTGCTTGAAAACATATTGATTCTTCATAGGTAAACCTATCTTGCACCATTCAGTAAGCATTTGAAAACATAACATGAGCAATTGGTAGTATTTTCTTAGCTTTTATTGAAAGCTTTAAACCATTAATCAGTGTTCTGCATTATTCCATTAAGTGGTAATTAAACTTTTTTATTGTAGCTCCATTGTATCTTTTCATTTTTATATACTTTTTTGAATAATGATTTCTTCAGTAGTTTTAAAGATGAGTATGATTTATGTTACCCTTAAGATTTCTTAATTATGAAGATTTGGTTTATTTTTATGAAACATATAGATAAATGTGGGTTTTTTGTTGCTTTTATCAGTTTTAATTTTACAGGCATGGGGTTTATGATGGAAAGTAAGAAACACCATTCAAAGAAGCCAGTTGCTACTTCTCACTAAGAATTACAAGTATGTTAAGGGAAACAATTCAACAATACAGCTAAGTTACAAAAAATACTGCCTCCAGTGATGGGTTCTTCAACTGATGATTTTGAAACTGCAGAACTTGATTCCATCATCAATGTAATTGTCTTGAATCCTGCTAACCAATTGGACACATTTTCAGGTTGAGTATAGCTTAATTGTAATTGAATAATATTTCTTACTTGCAGTTTTTCATTAATGAAAAGCTATTACCATCAAATCATACTAAAACATTATTTTGCTTTTGGCAAAAATTTATACTATAGGATGAAATTATTATTATGGGCAGGATTCCTAAAATATCTAAAAAGTTTTTAGCTGGCTGAAATTGAGGCAAAGTTGTCTATCGAAAAGATTCTCACCAATCAGGAAAATGTGTTGTCCTTTAGGCAAGGCTCATTAGGATCTATATCAGACAACTCTTGCTGTGGCTGTGCTTAGACTTCTTGGCTATGAAAAAAACCCATCTTTCATCAGCTTTTCATGGTTGATAATCTTCCAGTGGAAAAACATTGAAGTGAATCATTAAAAGGTCATTGAAGGTAGAAGTGATGAACTTCAGCTATGTAGAACCGTAGTGAATAACATATTTTTTCTGTGGCACTGTTTTGTTTTTGCTTTCCAATATTTTGCCCATATAAGCTTTGTCACTTCACATCACTGCAAATAGATGACATGACTGTAAACGTTGTTTGTTGCACATTGCGCTTTAGCAAACCATACCCTGAAATAACCTTATAAATCTGTTTTGTTTGGTTGTTTCATCAGATAGGATTAATGAAAGATGAGTGACAAGAGGCTGTCATTTAAAGTTGAGAAGTGTAGAGTAAATTGTTTTGTTAAAATTACTGTATAGCATTTTATTTTAAATTTAAATATTTATTTCATAATATAATGAAGCTTCAGTCAAGAACCACTGTGATGCAGAATAGCTTCAGTAAATAAACAATGCAAGTTGCAACATCATCAGTTTGTATAGGGCAACTCTATTCTGTGAGAGTTACCTTATGTTTGTGCAAAGCAGTGAACTGTTGCAACTTGCTAGTAGTTTCCACAAACAGCCAACAATGAATCGGCAAGTCAGACTATGTCTATGCAACAAAGGCACCTGGCTTAAAAATTTACTGATCATTAGATGTCAGATATTTGATCCTTCTTTTTTCTTCTTAAAATGTGGTACAGCTTGTTTGCTTATGGATATGGTATTTTTACCCACCAGGCATTTTTTTACCATATTTTTGGAGCTATGATTATGGGATGCATCTATAATTTATGTACCTACCCTCATATTCCAGTCCTTTGCCATTGTCAGCTATAGTACTTGGTGTATCTATGCCACTGTGAAACTTTTAGAGTAATTTGATGATTATCACTGTAAAAGCTTTACATTTTTCTTCATTTAATTTGTTTTCGTATTCGGAACACACAGACTTAACTTCTTTGGTAATTTCTTATTTTCAACACTTCAATGCACACAGTTCTCATTAGTTAAATATTTCACTGTGATCCTTCATGGGTTTGGTAAGGATTTGATAAAAGCATCAGTCCATATTTCAGAAATGCCACCTGTTGTCCAGTTATGTTAATATTCCAAAACTAATTATATAAACCTGTTGTAGATACATATATAATTCTGCTGTAGAGTTAGATGTTAACATGTTCTGATAGTTATAAAATTCAAGTATAAACTTTTTCTGTACAAGTAGATGTTAAATTTGTTCAAGTGATTATTAGTACAATCTTGAATTTCTTGTGTACCTGAAATGAGAGTTAATTAAAAATAATATTAAAATATCATATTAAGGTATAGGTATGAATGTACTGTGTAACAATAAAATTTTAACATGTGATCTGAATGGATATGATATACATTACCAATACATGTTTTTTTTTATAGAAATGTGGTACCATGTATTTCTTTGGGTTCTGTTTTCATCTCTCTTTGTACACTTTTGTGCTGCCGCACTTGCCTTTGGAATGTTAAAAGAACATAAACATGGTCGTTTCCTGCCTCTTTTGATAGTCATTTTTGGAGTGGTTTCACCTTTAACAGGAGGTGTAGTTACAAGTATGTATTTCAAAGTTTAATTCATTAGAAAAGAGAATATAATATTAATATTCAATCTAGCTAGTCAGAGTTGCACATTTTAGAGTAAAATATAATACTAAGCTTAAAATATGAATATAGAATGAGTAGAATGACAGCTACCATTTGGTCTACCAATTAAACCAAACACTGGATAAACAGTATTTTCAGTTGAAATCCAAGTAATATGTCAAGTTTTGACCTGCGTATGATATTTTGATTAATTCTAAATCTATATACTAAACTAACCATGTTAAATCATTTTCATTTGTATATAAAATTTAAAAATTATTTAACTTATTTTAAACATTGACTATTAAAATTTAATGAAACTAACAATAAAGAAAAATTAAATAGGTCATTCATCATAAAACACCAGTTGTTTATGTTAAGACCCACAAAATGTATAGTGTACTTCCAACATCATAAAGTTATGGTAATTATTAAGAAAGGCTAAAATTCATAAAACTTCACTAGCCATTCTCACAAGAAGTGTACCAGTCTCTGATTTCTTGAGATTAGTTACCTATTTTAAAGCCTGTGAAAAAAAATAATTATTAAGCTTTTATGCTGAAATGTGGAACTTGACAAGTTGCCACATGTTAAATTGTTTTATATATACATAATAAATACAGAAGTTTTACCTTATAATAAGTCTAAGATATTAATTAATGCCAAAGGATTTATTTGACAGTGTGGTGCATGATGTCATTTATGGAAATAATGAAAAAAGAATGACTGAAAACAAACACCTCAGGAACTTCACTTGCTACTTTGATTAAATACAAAATTGTTCATTTATTTATACTCTTTCAACTCTGAACAAGACAGATTTTATTTTTAACTTTCTCACCTCTGCTTTAAGAACATTACTAAATTATGAAGTTTTTTGTGATACTATAATAAAAATTTTCTGACTGTCAACGAAGTCATCATCACTCTTACCTATCAAAAAACTAACACATTGGTGACACAAAAATTTCTATAATCTTGCGATATAGTATATTCTTTATTAAATTTTCATTTTCAAGATAATTTCTAAACGAGTCCCACCATTGGAAACCAACAATACACCTCCTACATAAGTAAGCTCTTTTATTAATATTATCTGTATTAATAAATTTTTCAAGATTCAATGTAATCAGGCTTATTGTTACCAAGAACCTTGAAATTTTACCTTAAGGTAAGGAATGCTTCAGTATTTCAATATTTTGTTTCTTCCCAGGTGCAGTCATTGCTGGAGTGTATCGTGCATCCAGATTTCAAATGAAAGCTTTATATGCCTTGATCTGGGGCATTGGCCAAACAATACTTGCAGCTGTGATGTCATATACTAGAATTTTGGCAACTCTATAATTATATGAATTCCAGCAGTTTTTTTTTTGTTGTTGTTGTACAGGTTATTTCTTCATACAATGTCATGATCATTACTGATTAGCACAAGTCATCATAACTTTAATAGAGTTCTACAAATATGTAAGTGGAAAAAGAAAAAACATTTGATATTCTTATTTAGGTTACACATTTTCTTGTGTAATTAGGTTATTGAAAAAATTGACTATTAACAAAGGATTGCTGATCATATATGTGTTCATGGTGGAAACTACTATATGACATGTTGCTTAAAGGTAGACTAGGATTCTCGACCTGAAAGGACAGAGATGTGCGACTCCAAGTAATTTTTAATTTTGTGTTGTTTTTGTTGTTGGGAAGCAATTCAGTACTTTCCTTTTTTGAAACATTATTGTGGATTAACTACATCATATATTTTAATAGTCATTTATTTACCTGAATGTGGTGTCAAGTCCTAAATCAAATGGTTAATAATTTGCTATGTAAAGTATGCATGCCTATGTAATAAAGCTTTTAAAAAGGAACATAGCTCTCTGCTTGTACTTTAATACAGTAGGTTACTATGCTTATGTAAGACATTTACATCATATAATTAAAGTTTGTAAATCAGGATCTGATTAAAATAAAACAAAAGCCAAAAGAATTGTATTAGTTGGGTTCTGAATAGTTTCATTCAGCATAGCACCATATGTGTTCCTTTTTATTTTTATCTCAAACATTATTTGCTAAGGGTGATGATGATGGTGCTAATTCTTCATATTCCATGTTACATAAATATTTATAATTTAGTAATATAAACAATCAGCCAAGTTCTATAGGCAGATATTTGGATGGAACCTGTGTGTGGTAACCTTCAAGTTATGCATTAGGTGAAAAACAGGCCTATATATACTGTTGAATAGCATCTTTGACTTTCACTATAAAACTTATGATTCACAGTTTACATATACTTTTGCACATCTAATTGTATTTTTGAATCTGGAATAACTCATGCTACCTCTTGTAATATTAGCATCAGTTTTGTATTTTAAGCATCCTTTTTATTTTATTTTTTACAGATGCCTTTTACTTTACCTTTTGATTGCCATGTTCATAAATTGATATTTTTAAATAGTGATAACTAAAATATGCTGCCATAATTAAAAGAAAAAATTACTTTGAACCTACATTTATATGTATAATGTTTCTCAATATATTATTGAGGATTTCTATGGGGATACTGAAACATAAGAGTATTCTGTTTATAGTATTTTCTGACAACAAATTAATTTGTGTCTATAGTAGATTGGTGGAGGTGTTTTTTAAAAATGGGGGTTCGTTCCAAAAATATGGTTTATGAATAGAATTTAAATAATATAAATGTTTTTAAAGAACATTATATCATTATTAAGCTTTTTTTTAATGGGAGTTTCTTTAGTGTGGAGTAAAGTGAATTATTTTATTCTTGTTCTTTTCAATAAAAATAATGTTTTATATTTCTCACATTAGACTAACAAAGAAATATTTGTAAGTTTAGTTCTCCAATAAATAAGATTACGATAATCATTTTACATTTCAGTAAATTTTTGTTGCAAGTTTTTTAGTATACTTATTTAGCATATTAATTCACAGTAGTTTGTTTTATAATACTGTGTATATTATTGAGTTGGATTATGCTATTACTAACAGAAATTTCACACCTGGCAACAGCTAGTATTAAATCACGAGAAAGAAACTACTCCAACTTTTCAGAAACTTTATAGTTCACTTTATTCAGGGAAAACACCAGTGTTCTTGATTATAGACAATTTGAAACAACCACTTAAATATTTGTAGTATGATATATTAAGTAACTTATGAAATGGCACGTAATAGAACTGTTGCTAATTTTCAAAAGATTTAGTTAAATCTTGTTATGCATCTATTTTGCATATTGTGGTACTTTATATTACATTTATTTCAAACATTGGTTAAAATTTTGTGTAGTTCAGAATGCTCTGTCATTTTCCGTAATAAAGAGGAACTATACATTCACTAAAATTTCAGAATAATTTTTTTCTTGTCTTTTAATATTGATTGTTGTTATATCTAAATATTTCTCCTGGTAACAGTTCTTTTTCAATTATGGCTTTATAAAATATTACCATATCTTTCATGCTGAACAGTATTAAAAAATGTGTAGATATTTTTTGTTTCAGATGAAACCATATATATATATATATTTTGGTCTGTAAATTATATCAATATATCATGAATTACATAAGTGTTTGTGCATAAGCAATGTAATATATTTGTAATGTGTAAATATCACTCTAAATGTGAATAAAATAATATTTCTGCAACACAAGGAGCGGGTTATAGATTAATCAGATATGTGGTATAAATGTGCTGGTTTCAGCTAGGTAAAGATTATAGGGAAGTGAGGTAGTAGTAAATTAGGGCAAATATGTTTTATCATTATTATCCACTCATAAAATAAAACTTTGCACACTAGTTTCAGACATGTTGTTAAGAAAGTGTATAATAATTGAATTTTAGATAAGTTTTTGGCAATTTAAAAAATGTTTCAATAAAAGCAATGTTACTTAAAGGTAAAAATCTGAACAAAAAAATTTAAAAGAGATGCTTGGGAACATGGAATTAAAAATGCAACTCGTACATATATATTAGAAAAAATAATATTTGCTGACCACATTGTTTGAGACAAGAGATTGAATAAGTCAGAGAATAAATTTTTTTAAGTGTTTGAACTCTCATGAAATCTGAATTCAAACATTTTTACATAAATTCAAAAATGATCTCATCTCAAGGTTACTGTAACAGATGGAATCAAAACTGAATATCCCTTCTATGAAGCTTGTTTATTTTATATCCAGTTTTACAATAACATTCTTACTTTACAAGGCTAAGTGTGACCAAGTGGTTAGTATGCAGCACTTGAATCTGAGCATCCATTGATGGCATGGTTCATGTTCCATGATTGAATAATAATTGCACCCTGCACATGGGGCCATAGATGTGTTATGAGAGTGATGGTAAAATTACACTATTCAGTTAGATTAGACCAGGAGTTGGCTGTGGGTGATGTTGTCTAACTATCTTCCCTCATAGTCCATCAGACCAACATTAGAGAAGCCTAATGTAGATAGAAAGATTTGGTAAGCATTTCTTTATATTTCGGCTTGCAGAAGCAATGTTCATTACCAAATAAATGAATAACTGTTCATTCAGCCTACTGCCCTGCTATGGTAGTATGTAAAGAAATATATCCTTTGATACTTCAGCATAGAATAACTATGACTCATATCATTGTATATTTTACACTCATTTTCAAAGTGGAAACATTTCTAAATGTGAATATAAATAATAATTCATGAAATTCAAGCATCCCTGTCAAGATTTTTAATTAACTCTAACCAGGAGCATCATTTGCTATGAGGCAAGGGAAGTAGTTGTCTCCCACAGATTTTGGTTTGCTTCCAGGCCTTCTGATTTTGTAGGAATATAGTATGTGTATATAAATAAATATATATACAGTACCTTGCAAAATTCTTCATGCCCCTGTGCTGGTAATTAATTTTAGTTATTTTATTGTGAAAGACATAACTCGAATGGTCAAAAATATTTATTATGTTAATCTCAGACCAGTTTCTAATGGTTACAAAGAACAAAAGGTGCACTGTTACTCACTCTAGTGATATAACACAAAAAAAAAATCTTGAAAACATGTTGCAAAAGCCTGTACCCCTAACATGATTATGCAGTTAATATTTGGTTGAATATTTCTTTGGCAGCAATGACAGCTGAAATACGTTTTGAATAACCCTCCACAAGATTTACACAGTATGCTGGAGATATTTGACAGTCCCTTTTCTGACTATTTTTCTGCTTGTTGGAGCACAGACTTTCTTAGGGCGACTTGATCTTGGCAAGGTTGAGATAGTGTGACACACTTTCCATTTCTTCACAACCAGTTTTACATTACTTAATGGCAGATTGAGAATCTTTGAAATTGATTTATAGCCTTCTCAAGAATTGTGCTTCTGAACAATCTTCTCCTTTAGGTCTGTAGTGAGTTCTATTCTCATCATTCTCAATATGTAACAGTAAACGAAATTTTAACTTTCAAAACACTCTGCTTAAATCAATACTGATGATTCTATATGACCTAAGGTATTTTTTCACATGGCTCTATAATATACTTTGGTATCTGATAGAGTTGTACGGAGCCACTTGTATTTACTTTAGCTGGATAGTAACGTAAAGTTAAATCAACGATGGTAAAGATGGAGTGAAGACTTTCGTAACGGCTCCCCAGTGGCACAGAGATATGTCTGCGGACTTACAATGCTAGAATCCGGGTTTCGATACCCGTGGTGGGCAGAGCACAAATAGCCCCTTGTGTATCTTTGTGCTTAATTACAAAACAAACAAACTTTTGTAACGTGTTTTCAAGATTTTTTTGTGTTATATCACTCAATTGAGTAACAATGCACCTTTTGTTCTTTGTAATCTTTAGAAACTGGTCTGAGGTAATATAATAAATATTTTTGCCTATTTCGGTTATGTCTTTCACAATAAAATAGCTAAAATATATTACCAGCCCGGGGGGGTGGGGGTGAAGATTTTTGCAAGGCACGATATATGTGTATATATATATATAATAGCATAATTGACGTTCGAAGTTTTCTTGAAAAGACCTACAGTTTTTCAAACATTAATATTTTCCAGTTTGTTGCTAAGTGATGTATCATGCACATCCAGTCTTGATGCGCCAGCGAGTATTATTATGAACCACGATAGTAGTTCATAATAGGGATCTAATTGAACATACCGGCAAAAACCATCTTAAAAAGCAAACTTGTTCTTGAAACTACACTCCAGACCTTCTATCTCAATGGCTAAGGGTGCTAAAATATTGATAATATTAAAAAAGTTGTTAGACAAAATTCAAAATTCACCCATTTGTTATTCATATTATTTTGGTTTCACAAGCCTACATTAAAAACGGCCTTGAATATGTTATTCAAATCTGGGCAAACCTGCTAAAACAACTCCCGTGCATGTCATAGGACTATTTTTATGTCGATTCTTGAAAGAGGAAGAGAGATTTTTATCAGATTTTTTTCATTGCTACTGGCCAAGTTTCTCTTGAAGCCATTCAAGCACCGAAGCGTACAGCCAAAACGACTAGGTATACTGCGCCAAAATCTATTCACAGCTACTAAACAAACTCCTGCGAAGATTGTAGGGCTGTTTTAAAGTCGATTCTTAAAAACCGAGATTTCCACCCTCTAAAATGTTCTAAGTTTTTCTATGCAACCAACATAAGCTATTCGGCGCTATTCAAACATCGCAGAAATGTGGAAGTCATTTAAGTACTGTTATACTAGTCAGAAATGCTCTGTTATATTAGAGTAAACAATGTGTATATTTATAACAGTGTATCCAGCCGTATTGTTATTGATTATAGTTTTACAAGCCGTTACAGAAAAAACGACTACGAATATTTCACTGAAACCTGGATATTAGTAATGATGCAGTA